TTAATAGCTATAACTTTTCTTGGAAAGCAGATTTTCATTCTCTGTTGAGAAGAGCAGTGAGCAAGGAATTTCTCATATAATGAGTGATATTTGAGCTTGAAAATTTTTCAGAGGTCATCTCATCTAACACTTTGACCATCATAGGAATGGCCTCTACTTTGGTGCTTTTCAAACTGTGGGTCATGCAATTATTTTAATAGGTCACAAAATTAGCTTAGTAGTTGGATCAGCATTTTAAAAATGTAAAATAGAGTAGACAAGGTTATAGTTCATGTCAGGATATGAGGGTAAATCTTTTTGCTTTCATGTTTTGATGTGTGTATTCACACGTTCAGTGTGAACTGTAAAAACAAAATAGTTTACAATTACCTTAACCTCTGCTTAAGAGGTACCCAGCCAAGGAATTGCCTATGTTCAGGCCAGCCCTTGCTTGATAGACTGTTCCCCTAAAGTGTTTGTTCTCATGTTAAATGTTTCCTCTGAATTCATAGTATTTAAATATTCCTAGAATGAAAACAACATTTAAACTGGGCTCATTTGTTTCTCGAAGTTGTGTCCTGGCCCAGCCTATGCCAGAAGTCTCTTCCTAGTTTCTACCTGGAATTCTGTGTAGGTACCTTCACAGGCTTCATTACTTTTCCTAGATAATCAACTATGAGCTTTGACTTAAATAAACAAAGGAGTGAAGGAAAAATTTCTTGAATGAACTGGCTGGAAAATTGTACCACCAGGGTGAGTTATAGTGCAGCCTTAAGGGAAAGGATTTGATAGACTAAAAAGCAGTCTTCCAGGCCTTCTTGATCCCATGAGACCGGGTAGGATCTCTTCCCTGTCCTGGTGCTATGAGGCTATGGGAGGTGGCAAGCTCCCTTCATAATGTATGCATATGCTGTATTTTAATTGCCTCTTTTCTAGCTGTCTTTACAGCTAGACAGTCAGATCCTCAAGGGCAAAGAATGTGTCTTGTTCACTGTTATAATTATAGTTCCTGGCACATTATAGGCACTCAGCAAATGTGTTTGAATGTTTTCGACTATATAAAATAATACTTTTGTTCTTAGTTACTTGGCTGGAAGTTGAAATGTACACTCAGAGAAGACTAGATATGTGGGTGATATAAGGCAGGAATGGCTCTGGAAATCAAACAAGAGTAACAGCAAATGATTCAAAAGAAATCAGGAAATGGTCTGAACTACATGGTAAAATTAGCAATTGTTTGAAATCTTTCCATAAGCAAGTAACCTCAGAGACAAACTAGAAACATTGTAGCACAATAAGTCTATAATGTTATATGTGTTTGGTGATTTACACTTCGGCTTGTTCTCATTGGGCCGACTAAGCAGTCAGGTGAGATGGAAAGATAGTAACATTGCCATTTTGCACATGAGAGGACTGAAACTTGGTGTGGTTACTCACTGGCTCCAGGAATCCGAGTATGGGCAAAGGGCTGCCATCACACCTGATCCTGTGCCAGTGTACCTGTACACAGACAGTTCCAAGTTGTGAAATGTATTGTTAAGAATAATTATGGTAATAAGTTAGGTTGATGTCAAATTTCATCATGCATTTGTCTTTTTTTTTAAATTGGTGCATTATAATTACACATACTAGTGGGATTCATTATGCTGTATTCATATGTGCACATAACATAATTTGCTCAATATCCTTTCTCAATATCTTCCCTTTCCCTCTCTTCCTCCCTCTCCCAATCCACTTGCTCTGTTTTACTGATCCCTCTGCCATTATTATTATTATTATTATTATTATTATTTATTTTATTCATATATGTATTTATGGGATTCATTGTAGGCTATTTGTACATAAACCTAGTATAGTTTGATAGATTTTGAGAAATTCTCTCCACCACCACCTCTTTTTTGGAGGCGGGTACTGGGGATTGAGTCCAGGGGTGTTTTACCACTGAGCTACATCCTCAGCCCTTTTTTTTGAGACAGGGTCTGACTGTTTCCCAGACACCTTGAAGTTGGGATCCTCTTGCCTCAGCCTTCTAAGTCTCTGGGATTACAAGTGTGCACCACCATGCTGGCTCGCCCTTCCTACCATTTATTGATTTATTTATTATTGCGTATTTGTCTTTACAGCCACCTTTTGAGTTGGTGTCTGGGTGATAGAATTAAAGTTGTTGATTTAGAATGCTGGAAAGAAATGTTAAAGGGCCATCTTTCCAGTGCAGCAACTTGGTAGATACCTGAGTTTCCTACACCTCAGCAGATCGTCGTAGTGGCCACTGTAATTGACATGTTTGTGAGGAGAAGCCTGCCACCTCTTGAGGCAGCCCATTGCATAGATAAAGGGTGCTAGAGAAGGTAAGCTGAATATGACAAAGGTTAGAAATAATATGACAATGTTCAGAAACCTCTGAGGGGAGAGGGTAATGATCAGTGTGAATGTGGAAATGCAGTAGTTGAGCTGGGATTGAGAAGGCAAAGAGCATTAGCTTCGGGAGTGGAAGTCTTCCACTAGTTTAGATGGGGGCAGCAACGTGGGTTACTGCTGGGCTTGTGGTCTCCCCTGGCCTCTTGGGCTGCTCACATGGCTTTAAGTCCTGACTGTTGAAGTCTGTGTGCTCTGTGCTCCTGCTCCCGGGGGTCTGCCCACCTCTGAGGGATGGAAATGAGTTTGCAGTTTCTAGCAATTGGAATACTTTTGACCTCAGATCTTTAAGGACAGGTTATGACTTTTATACCTATACAACTTTTTCAAAAGATTTTTATGGCTTGGTATGGGTTGTCAGGCCATTTAAGGTTTTGCTAAGTATAATTCCAAACATATAGTCATATTGGACCAACTTCCCCATCCCTAGTAGGAAAATGACCCACATATACATTTGGGGATGGTTATTGCTTCTTCACCATTCTGATAAATGAGCTGCAGTACAACCACTCTGTGTGGAACATATGCCAGTTGGTCTGGGAATTCTAGTCTAGGCCACCAGGATTCTGTTGCTAAGCCATTTCTTTATTCCTGGGAACAAGGCAACATTCCTTGGTGTATTGGGTAGCCAGATGGGGTGCAGTGCTTGCTGTTTTCCTATGAAAGAGCTTGACATGGTGAGAGAGAGGGAGAGCACATGTGCAAATGTCATCAGACCTGAACTCTAAGCTCTGGGGCTGACTCAGATGTGAGTCAGAGGGTCTGGGACTCTGTTCTAGGCCCCCAAGATTTCGTTACTGAGCCATTTCTTTACTTTTGGAATCACTGTACCCACAGTGTACTTTATGTGCCGGGTTCCCTTCTCATATGTGTATACATGCAGCTTATCTAGTGAACTCCTAATTATTCTTCAAAACCTAGTTCAAATGCTCCTTTCTCTTTTGTGCATTCATTCAACAGGTATTTATTTATTAAGAAGATACTAAATACTAGATGCTGGAGAGTTAGCATGGAACAAAGCAAAGACCTGCCCTCAAAGCCTTGAGCCTGTGTTCCCATACCTCTGATTTTACAATAACATCTCATTTGAGTATAGTTCTTAGCCTAGTGATTTGCTCAGTTGAGTCAGAGGACAAATGCTGCTTCTCTTGGTCCTTCCTTTTCTAAGTGAATGACCCAAGTCAGGGAGCCCTGGGAGAGTCTTACAGAGGAGTGTCAGGAATGGTGAAGTTGCCATAGAGATGTTCCTGTAAGTGCAGTAGCTGCCATAGAATGGAGAGATGTGATGGAAAATTGTAGACCTACACTGTGCAGTCCTCCCCAGGCTGACAACAGGGACTGTCCTGCTCCTGTGGTCTAGTGGGCAATGCAAAGCCAGGACATGCACAGTCAGCAGAATAGCATGGTGGATCCCAGGGAGAATTCCTGCTGACAGGAAGCACAGGCGTCTTCCTCACACCTGCACATGGGCCAGCAGGCATTTCCTGGCCATTGTTTGTGGTGGCCACAGTGACTCTATTTCCAAGCACCAGCAAAGTGGGGCTAGAGCTGGCCAAGCTCTGACCAAGCCAGCTTTTTTTATGCTGTCACCCAGGCCAGAGCTTCAAACAGCCTCTGCAGAGGCTGAAGCAGTGGTGAATCCATCTGACCACAATCTGTCTCCCACCTAGTGAGTGAACATGGCAGCCCTGCCTGTTTTGCTGTTAAATTAGCTTTTATTATTCATTTTTCTTCTTTCTTGGTCCTTTTGCCTTTGGGCAGCTTATACTGGGGTCAGCTGCTGCCATTTAAGGTGGCAGAATTTGAGTGTGGACACCCTTGACCAAGAAAGGCAGCACTTTCCCCCAAAAGTTGTTGGGGAAAAATTCTATTCTTTAAAGTCTCACGTGGAAACTTTCATATTGCCCAGCAGGTAGAGTGTGTGAGCTGGATCAGCACGTTGTTTGTTTTCTCATTATGAGCCTAAGCACTTCAAATCTATTTCCAGCTGCTAGTTAGCCCCCCTGGGGAGCTGCCCTGGCAGTCGCTTTTCCAATTGCTTGCACTGGAGTGTATCATGGCTACGTGTTGATTAAAGATCTCCCTCTGCCCTTCAGAGCAAAAGGTATGCGTCCAAGATGAAAACAGGCACATATAATAAGATCAGGCTGGGTCTTGGTAGTCTCTCTTTTTAGAAGCATGAAGTAGTAATTGAGCTTCTGTGTCTGTGTTTGCTCTGCCCTGACTCCTTCGGTGCGCTTCTTTTTAGATGAGTGGGGCTAGAGGTCCGTGGGCAGTGTGATCATTTCTTCACTTAAACACTGTTTTGGACTCTTCTCCAAGAGGTAGTCATCAGAGGGTGAGAGCCCCAGACCTGCCGCACATCCTGTGGAGCCAGTGCGGCCTCTATCTCTCCTGCACGAGCCCACTGGGGTTGATTTCAGGTAGACAAAGCCACGTTTCTCCACTTAGGTGCAGGTGTACCCTGGTCGGGTTTGGTGGATAGAGGGAACTGCAGTTCTTCAGGGAGGACAGGTCACAAACTGCCTCTCTCTGTTTTCCCCTCAGTGATGAGTCCGGCCACCATGATGGTTCCAGTGGTTGAGCTTTGATGAAGCCAGTGCATCATGTACAGCGTGGAGGATCTTCTGATTTCTCATGGATACAAACCGTCAAGAGAATCATGTGAAGACAACCCTGAAGGGCGCCAACGAACAAGGACAAGGACCAGAGGTGCCCGTGGCCTGATGAATGGGTATGAGGATGGCCCTGTAGCCTTTGAACACAGTCAGTCATCCCCAGGGACAGGACATGTGAGTGATTCTGAAAGCCGCCGCGGCACTCCGAGGGGCCACGGGGAGCGCCCAAGTACTTCTGCTTCTAGAGCTGCTGAGGCCGGGTAAGGTTCCATATTGACCTGCCATATTCCTTAAACTTAAGAGTTTGGCGTTGCGTTGCATCTTAGTAATTTTTTTATATTTGGATGGGCCAAGGAGGAAAAAAAGAGTCTAAGATAAGAACACTTCTTTCCGTTGTGGTATTTGGGGTGTTCCAGCAGCACTTAGCCCAGGAGCTGGCTATAGTAGTCCTTCAATAAACAGGTGAGTACTGTGCTAAATGTGTTTTAATGCTGTGTGTCTCTGTTCTCTTTTGTGTTCACTTGCTTCAGGTAGGAATCATTTTGGAACTTTGGAAAAGCTAGTTCATGTCCACGCAAACATTCATGGTACATTTGTCTTTCTTATTAATACATTTCAATACTTTGTAGGTTACAGGAAGTTGTATTCCCCTCCATTTATTACAAAGACAACCTTTCTTCTTGTGTACTGATATAATTCCCTTGGCTTTGGACCCATCTGCCCTTTGCAGTTGCACTGTACTTCATCTGGGTATCCCATCTGAGCACAGCTGCATCTGTGGGTGTTCACTATGACATAAACAAACAAACAGATAAATAGCATTGGTTGGTTGGAAGAATGAGATGGTTAACAAAAGGGAATTTCTAGAACTTGCCACAAAACCAGCATAAGATAGGAGCCCTGAAACTCTCTCCCAAACACTTTCAACTTGGAGAAAAACATTGTCACCCCTTCATAAAACTGTTTGTCTTTAATGCTGCATTGGGACCTAGTACAGATTGGAGAAGAAGAGCTCTCGGTATACAGTTGCTTCATGCAACTGGTTGCAACCAGCCAGAATGGATAAAGGCAACAAGTGGAGGCAGGGGTGTATTTTTAAGAAGAGCACACTGAAATGTGAATTAAGTCTGATGGGAATCATCTGGCCTTTTGGGGTTACAGGTCACCTTTACCCAGAAAATGTCTTCCTCATTGTTTGACTTTCAGTCAAAAATGGGAGAGATTCATTTCTGCAGTCAGAGCAGTCAACACTGGTTACTGGGTAAAAGCAAGAGCGCCTCTTGCACAGTGTAGTGAAGCAGGTCTGTGCTACCAGTGAGTTCCCACTGGTGGGAGCTAGGTGTGGAGTGAAAGGTAGCATGGGAGAGGACAGGAAGCTATGGCTCTTTGACCTTGCCCTCCACCATCCACACCTCTGTCCACTACTTTCTTGGGCTTAACTCTCTTGGTAGCCATGTTCCCTGCTGTGGAATTTGGATGAGGACTCTAATGGACCAGTTGGCTGAAGGTGAAGGCAACCTTAATTACTATCAGAAAAACATGTGCTTGATTTTCTCCTGCTTTCTGTTCTTTCTAGTTTTTACTGAGTATATCCATCTTCCAATGTGGATTGAAGATATTACGCTTGTACCTTATCTCCTGTTTCTTTTGTATTTCCCTGCAGAGCTCATTACAGCTTTTGGCACACAGTAAATGATATATTATTTAATATATGCTGATGTATTCAATTTATTCTTCCAGCCATTGTGGGAACTTTTGAAAAACAGAAGACTCAATTCTGTATGAGGTAAAGACAGGGCCGTGGAATCCATATAGATGGGCTGTGTCAGTTATATGGGGGTCTTCCTCAAACCTGAGGATCCAGATCAGAATTGGGTTTCAGAATAGGAGGTAATAGAATCCCCTTTAGAATTCTGTGTGTGTAGTGTGGCCCCCAAGCTCAGACACAGCTTACTCAGGACTTTCTAACCCTTGCATGGTAACCTGGGCACCCTCAGGGCCCACCTGCCCAGTGTTAGGTGGGTAGCATAACCAGACCCATAAGCAGTATTTCTTTCTGTCACAAGTGAAGTGCTCAAATAAGTGCTTTTGTGTGGCAATGGGATGTTGACTAAGTTCTCCATGAATCTGGTCTCTTTCTCCATGTTTCTGAGGTTTACTGATTAACTTGGGAGGTGTGTGATGGCTTAAAGTTGACTTAAAAAGTAAAAAGAGAAAAGCTTACATATTTTCAAAACTCTATTCCAATATCCAGATCCTCAGAGATCGATTGCAAGGCTTCCTAGGTTGACATGCTTTAGGAAGAAATAAATACGTAAAAGTTAAAAATAGTTAAAAGCTTAAAAAACATAAAAACAAAATAAAAAACAAGACAAAACAACCATATCATGGCTTATGTGAATTCTGAATCTGAGTGAATAAATGGTGTTCTGCCAGCTCACAGCCTTTGATCGCTTGACAAGTGCAGCTGTAGTCTGGCTGCCTGTCCTGTCTCACACAGTGGCCCCTACTGGGCTGGTCTCCAGGTTTGGGGGCACTTGGAACCAGAATGGCCATCTAACTCCAAGCCAGCAGGGTGACGGGGAAGTCCTGAGGACTCCTCTAATGCTGTTTCTCAGGTGGACACCTTGGGCTGGTCCTCAGTACCCTGCCAATTTCCCGGGCAAGGTAAAGGGTGTAGTTTAGAAGTCCACGGGCTGGATGGAAGAGATCAGTTTGTTCTATGCTGGCAGGTGGTAGAGACAAGGCACACTGGTAATTTTTACAGAAGAACATGAAGCCCAGAGAATGTCAATGGCTTGTCCAGGGCCACTCAGGGCAGCAGTGGAGGGAGCCCAGCTTAGCCACAGGCTCTGGTTTGGCCAAGTTTGAAAGGGGCCTCACTTCTGTGAGCCCCTTTTATAGCTGCCCTGTGCTGGACTGTTTTCTCATTTCCTTGTCCCTGGCAGGCATGGATGTGTCCCTTCGTGTCTGGGGAGTTGTAGAAGGAGTACATCCTCTCATACCGACTGTAGATGACATGTATAATACTGCTTTTCTGGGGACATTGTTAAGGGCCATAAAGGAAGGTGGTGTCCTTCATCTGGGGCTTCTTTTGGCAGGATTTTCAAACATGTAGAATACTTGTTACCTACCTTGCTGAAGACACTATGCTTAGGAGATTTTGCTATTATTAGATCAAGTAATAGTGAGCATCCGAGATGGTAAAGAAGTGTCAATTCTGATATGAAGAGAGGTGCAGGGATGTGTGAACTTTCCAAAAAGTTCTTAGGCTCAAGTAGTGAAGATAGGACCAAGAATCAATTCTCATTTGTACAAAGTTTATCCAAATTAATGAGTAATGAGAACTGTCTTCCTTAACCAAGTATTAATGTATGGGACCGTCCATCTTATGGCTGGAAGGCACAGAAGATGAGCTCTGGGCCCCTGTCATGTAACTGCTGCTAGCACAGGGCCCACCTGGCTCTGCTCCCTGCATTGCCCAGCACTGCAGGCCCTGCAGGCCACATAAGCCCAGCCAGCCTACCTCTCCTGTGGCCTCCTATTGATGGGACGCCAGATACACAGGGTCACCATGCAGGCCCCGCTCCCTTTCTACCCAGTCTCATACTGGAAACTCCATCTTACCTAACGGCTTCAGGTTGCTGTCATGGAAGTCACCCTCTCCTTTGAATTCTTCCGACATTTTCTCTTGGTCTTCAAAATTGTCAGTTTCCTGAAGGCTGATCCCATATCTAAGTCATCTCTGACTTGACTAATTCCTATTAAAGAATTTTCATTTAGTGAATGTTCATTCCTTAAATAATTCCTCTGAATCAACCCTTGCACTCATAAGCCTAGGCAATGTGTACAAGGGACGAGTCTTTCAGAACGTTGGAAGAGGAGAAGGGTGGGACTGTGTGAGAAGGTTCCGTTGTGAAGAGGAAGAGTGTTGGCTTCCCTGACAGGCAGGTGAGGTGGCAGTGTCAGTGGCTTCTGCCATGTATAGCAGGGAACAAGCAGGGAGAAAGTAACTGCCATAGACCCAGCAAAACTATTGGTGGCTGAACAGTTCCTAGTGAAAAAGCTTTCCTCCTTTGTAGATGCTGGGGTGGCAGAAACTGGTACCCATCTAAATGGAAAGGCAGGGGTTGTTGTAAAGATAGGTAGAACAGGAACTCTCAGGAACCATCCATGGACAGGAAATGAAGGAAGACTGGCCAGACCCCATCAGATGTGGGAGCAACAGTGCTGGAAGCCAGGACTGCTCTGTTCATTGATGTCTCTCGAGACAGTCTGCAGAGGGGAGACCCATTCAGTCTTTGTCCCTCCTTACCTCTTGGCATCTCTCTGTTTTTATGCATCCCCTTCTGCTGGGCAGCCTCTTCCCTGATAGTGAATACTTTCTAAAAACTTGGGCTCAGGGTAACTTTTATCCTTCCCTTATCCTCTGTGAGGGTTTAACCTCTGAGCTTACTGCTAACTTAGTTTAAGTTTTTCTAGACAAGAATCAGTGTTGTTGGGCAGCCAGTGGCATATCAGTCTTGGTGAGGGCAGGGGGACAAAAAAGTGGTAGAAGGCGGACTGTGGAGGGGAAATGGACATACATGGATGCTGGGACTTTGTCCACATCAGGGGCTATGGATGAGGACAGTTTCCAGGCCAGGGGCCCTGACCGTATGCCCAAGATATGTTCTGTCTTCACAAACCATTCATTGAATGACTTTAAAGACTTGGCATTTTCCCCTTTTTAAGCCATTTACCTCCTGGAAAGCCTTCTGGTCTAGAAGCTAACCTACTCCTGGCCTGTCTTGGTTAACCATGAAACTGCCCGCAGGTTTGGCATGAAAGTCACTTCCATGGTACAGAAGAGCCCACGGGCCTTGCTTCCTAAGTAATATGCACATGGCACATGCACATGATGGTCTAGGGGACACGGATCAGGGAAAGCTGTGTGTTATCTGTTCATGGAGGAAACCTCATATTTCAAGTGCCAGTAGCCATAACTGAATAATACTTAGCTGCTGTAAAATATGTAAAAGACTGTTATCAGGCATTCTCGGTTTCCTTAATGTGTTTCCTGTGAAATATTATAATCAGAGGAAGCTGTAAAATGACTTAACTTAGCTGAGGTTTGAATCTGAAAGTCATACCACAATAGACTCTTCTCCGCTTTGCCCCAGGAATTCTAGTAAAAAAATATTTGTTAGTTAACCATGGCAGTAACTTGTAATTATTTTCTGTCATCAGTGGCAGTTGGACTAATTAGAGACTCAGCAAA